TTTTTCGATTCGGTCTTACATGGTTCTGATTCCACATTAGTAAGTGGCCTGTAAGCGTTTCCTTTTATAGAAATACCAGGTAATCCTGAAAGTTTCACAAGGTGAAAATTGTTCCAGCGTTCCTTGGCTACTAGAATGGTGTGATCTTTAACAAACTGCTTGAAAGTGGCAATTGCTAAGTATATCCACCGAGTCCTTTCCTGGAAGGTTTTGGGTGGTCCTACCTTTCCCTGTCAGGTCATCAGCTTTGCAATTACCATCAATTTTCCGGTATACCCGGCAACCATATATATGAGTAGAATTCTACGTAAATATGTATGTTCTCGTTCAAAAAGCTACGGCATTCAGCGGGGGACTTCACTGTGTATATGTGTGAGCTTTTCTTCAAGCGTTGAATTTTTGATATATTTTCTTGTCACTTGTTTACATACAGTGGGCGAAAAAGTTATAGCCGCACCATATTTTGACAAGTTTTAACATATTACACAAAATTACCAAACTTATTTTATGTGCAGAACTGTAAAAACATACATGTCGAGCCCTAACTGCCAAAATAACGTATGCATGTTTGTGCAGTTCTGAACATAAAATAAGTTTGGTAATTTTTTGTTCAAATTGGTAACTTTTTTCGGTGATTTTGGTAAAAAATAAAAAAATTCTGTGGCAACACTGAATGTCACCCTACACATTTCCGGTTTGTTGTATGGGTTCTTTGATGGTGGGATTATTGTGCCATAGTCTTTAGCCAAAGAATTTTGGTCGTTTTTTTTGAGGTTTTAAATTTAATCCTGTTTACAGTTTAAAGAGGAAATGAAATTCCCTTGTACCTTTTTTGGCGTCAAATATGAGAATGTTCGTTAAACTCCCAACTTACAAACTGGGAAGCTTTTGGAAGATAATTTTAAGCAGTATTAGGCAATTGTTTCTGGATCAGTTTCGTTAAAAAAAAATAATTGACAACATCTTTAAAAATCGTATCTGGTCAAAAGGTTTTTCGTACACTTATGCCGAATTTCCACTAGGCATGTCGTCGAAGGAACCGCATAAATCCAGAATTTCTTTCGTAGATTGTTTGCACCGCCTGTGTTAAAGATATCTACAAAGTGCCTTCGTAATCCGTCGACCACTTCGTTATTGAATATCATCTACACGTTTGTAGTGTTACAAAAGTACAGTAGGAAAAAAGTTCCATGTCAGTTCGGGGTATATATACATATTTGAAAAGGACAATTCTGATCAATTTTTTTATACATAGAACTCAACTAAAGAACAGGCGCAAGTATACGAGTTTAACGAGTAAAAAAGCCAATAAAACCAGAATTAAGAACAAAATATGAGCCAAAAAGTAAGATAATACAGATTGCTTTCCTTGCTTCCTTTGCGCTTAAGATGATCGCATTTGATCCAAATCCAATCACCTCTTCACTTGCCCCCTTTAACTCAATTAATTAATATCGCTTAACCACTATTCAGACTCCTTCGAA